TATACATTTATATGCTGATACTCGTTTTTTGCGTTTGTTTTTAATTTGGTGCTAATGTTGTTCTTCTATAAACATATAGGCCTATATTTTCAAGTATCTAGTGTGTATTATTGAATTTTGAAGATCTTTTTTTTTTTTAATTATTACTCTTGCTGATGTCTGTCTTCTTGCCCTCTCTCCTCAGCCAGGATACACGTGACCTCTGATTTCAGCCTTGTCCCCTCGGATCTCGGGGCTCTCCACCTCTGCTCAGACCGCCATCATCACACCGGGACCTCCAGAACCAACTACAGCACCAAGCAGCTCACCGAGCTGGAGAAGGAGTTTCACTTCAACAATTACCTAACTCGGGACAGGCGGGTGGAGGTCGCCCGCGCTCTGCAGCTCAGTGAGACGCAGGTGAAAGTCTGGTTCCAGAACAGACGCATGAAGCAGAAGAAGCTGCAGAGGGACGGGCTGCTCTCTGGTCCTCTGGACCCCCCCAGGGCCTCTGGGCACCTGAGCTCCTGAGCTGCACCGAAGCGTAAAGCCAGCCGTGGCGCAGAGGCTGCCTGCAGATGTTTGGATTCATCTTTGCATTGGTCTCAATCAGGCTTTACCTTTATTTGTTTACCACCATGGATGCTACTCCCGGGATGCGCCATGGCAGCTTTTCTCTATGAGAGCGGCTCAGAACCATTTGTCTTTCTCCCCGGCTTCAGACTGCCGCTCTAATTTGAATATTAAAATGTGTCATGTCATTGCGCTGCAGCTTTCACAATGTAAACGAAGAAACAAACTTATCTAATTGACCATAAAATCCCTGAAAGCTTATTTGGTTATTTCGGACCATTTATCAGGAACTCGTTGAATATTTAATCCAGTTGAAATGTTTAAATTCACCAATTCTATTATTTATTAAAGGTTTGGTGTGTTTTTTGTCACAGACAGAAGATGAGTTTGATCATTTTTCTGCCTTTTCAGCATCAAAATATTGCACAAAACTGAATTACTAAAAATAAAATAATAATTTTTTTGTCTACTTTGTTTGCTTTTGAATGCTTTTCATATAATTTCTGAATATTTCTGTTCAATTTCATTTTGAGAGATTTACTGAGCACACGTATCAGAGTATTGATCTGTGGTGATCCGTCCTTCAGAGGCAGAAATCTGGGTGCTTTTGCGAGTATCTGTAACTGCATGTTTAAGGAACTCAGAAACATCCGATCGGGATTTGTTTCATGGGTTTTCTGACCTCCTTATGAATGCATTAATAAAAAAAGATAATTTGTCTCTCTTATAACTCGTGTGGGAGAACAGACAATAAAAAATTGATGTCTGTGATGTTCGTCCAATAAACTGCGTGTCCCCTGCAGTTCCAGCAGCTGCATACATCCTCCCTGATCTCGTTTCATATAAAGTAAACGATTGTAAACACGTTCCTGATACAACAATGCGTTTGTTTTAATGTCTCCTAAAATCTCAAGCTATGGCTCATCATCCAGTAATTCTTTTTAAGGTTATAGTTTGTATTATTTCTGTGGAATTAAGAGTTTTTCTCTCCTAAATTCAAAAATTATTCAGACCCATCAAATAAAAAAGTAAATAAATTGTTTTTAATCCTTGAGCCAGCATTCAAAGAGAGGATTCTGATTCAGCTCTTGAGTGGACAAGGCCAAGCTAATATATGCAGTTACACCAGAGTTCAACTCTCACCTCCTGACCCTTGTCGTGCCTCAGGACAACGCTGACCGGGTCAGTGGCTCCACAGAGAAAGAAGCGCCATTAATTCAGGCGACCTCAAAGTCTGAGATTTTTCTTTCTGTCTCCCTCCTTTTCACCAAACAACTCGCAGCCCTTTTGTTCTGGTGTGTTGCTCTCCCTGTCCACACAACAATATGTCATCCAGCTGAATAGCACAAAGACCATATGATAACTGTTCGTATATGATACCATACCAGGATGGAAAATGAGATTTATTTTTTGTTCCTGCACCAAGTGTTAATGTTTTTTTTTTTTTTTTTTAACTTATCTTTTCTTTTAATAACCTAAAGACTGTGCATCTGTTCACTTTATAAACTGAATGAAATAGTCTCTTATACAGCAGAAAAACTAAATTATTTGAAATGCAAAGTTGAACATAACTTCAATTTTAAATATATTTCAGTGTCAGAGGTGGCAAAAATGAACAAATTCTCGTTTGATGCTCTCTGCTTAAATGTTTGACTTAATGCATTTAAATAACAAACATTAATCTATGCTAAATGTTTTGGCAATAATTAATAAGAAAGGAACAACTTAAAAGACAGAAGCTGAGAGTAAGAGAAAGAAAAAAAAACAAAGAAAAAAATAATTAATTAGAATGACATTCAAGGAAGGTTTCACTTAATTTATAACAATTTGCATTTAGGTAAAACACACACCATTAGGACTGGCTGTTTTAAGCAAAACAGGACTAAGTGGAAATTTTAACAAAACTTACTAAATTGTGTGTTTGTTGTGAAGGTCAGAAAGAGCACAGCGATTACCCGCTAATATGAATCATGTTGATGATTTAATGCATGTAATTATAT